GGGGGTAGGTTGGAGGTGGGGGAGAAGGAATGGGGGTGGGGGGAGGGAGAGGGAGAGGGAAAGTACATGTGAAAATATTAATAATTTAATAAAAAAAAATTTGAAAAAAAAAAAAATTAGAATATGTATATTAAGTGTGGGAGGTTTGTAGGAAAGTGAGAAAATTAGAAGCACAAAAATTTAAGAGAACAATCTTTTTCTTTCTTTTTAATAAAAATCATGCAGTTTGACCATAGCCCAGGAAAAGGAAAATTTCAGACATTGTGAGGTAGTTTTTTAAAAACTTGGTCCCTTGCTTTAAAAATGCATATATTTTAGTTATTACTATTAAAATATTAGTTGTAGTAAATATGCTAATAGCTGATATTCCTTTTGCTAATAACAACAGCACAGCACTCCTGAACTCAGATTTTTCTAGTTTATACATTGCAATATATTATATATTATGCAGATAAAAGTGTTCCTTTTACCTTACAAATGGCCAATGTAAATGTCTGATCTTAAAAAGTGACTGAAAGATAGAAAAATTTTCTTGATTATTATGTAACCAAGATTTCTTTGTGATTTTAATCTCACAGGACTAAGCCAAAAGTTTCCTCATATTTACTATATTAAGTCAATATAAAGTATATATTCTCTTAGGAGCTTTGATTAATTGCTTTTACTCATGCATATCTGTATTCAGGGAGTCTTCTTCAATATGAATTTTATAATGATTGGTAAGGGAGGATCTCTGGCTGAAGAGCTTCCCACATGCAGTACATTCATAGGGTTTCTCTCCAGTATGAATTCGCTGATGTGCTATAAGGGAGGAGCTTTGTCTAAAACTCTTCTCACATGTGTTACATTTAAAGGGTTTCTCTCCCGTGTGAATCCTCTGATGTTGAATAAGAGCTGCACTTTGGCCAAATGACATGCCACATTCTATACATCGGTATGGTTTCTCTCCAGTATGAATTCGCTGATGGTTGCTGAGGGATGAGTTACACCTGAATGTTTTCCCACACTCATTACACTTATAAGGTCTTTCTCCAGTATGCATTCTCTGATGTTGGATCAGAGCTGAACTTTGTCTGAAGGCTTTCCCACAAACTTTACATTTGCATGGTTTCTCTCCAGTGTGAATTCTCTCATGAATAATAAGAGTTGAATGGGAACTTAAGGCTTTGCCACATTCATTACAATTATAAAATTTCTCCCCAGTGTGAATTATTCGGTGTCTATTGAGTCTTGAAATAGAAGTGAAGCCTTTTCCGCACTCATTACATCTGTAGGGCCTTTCTCCAGTGTGAATTCTTTCATGTTGAATAAGTGATGCACTCTGACTGAAGGCTCTGCCACATTCGCTACATTTGAAGGGTTTCTCTCCAGTGTGGATTCTCTGATGATAACGAAGGGACGAGCTAGACTTAAAGGTGTTGCCACATTCGTTACACAAGTAGGTCTTTTTTCTTGAATGAATTCTCTGACACCCTGAAAGGGAAGTGGATGCCTTCCTACCTGGGTTATATTTATGAGGATTTTCTCGGGCATGGATTTTTTGATGCAAAAAAAGGCCAGACCTTCTGCTAAAGGATTTTCCACATTCTTTGCATGTATAAGATTTCTCCAAAGTATGAGTTCTTAGGTGCTTACAAAGGGATGCACTATGGCTGAAGGCTTTCCCACATTCTTTACATATGTAGGGTTTCTCTCCAGTGTGAGTTCTTTGATGTTGAATAAGAGCAGAACTTTGGCTGAAAGCTTTCAAGCATTCTTTACACTGAAATAATCTTTCTCCAGTGTGGTTTTTCAGATGTTTTCGGAGGGATGAGTTGTGCATGAAAGCTTTTTCACAAGTAGTACATTTATAGCGTTTCTCCACTGTCTTAATTCTTGGTTGATTAAGTGAATTTGAATTTTCCTTGAAGCTATTTCTTTGTGTTTTTTCTATAGAAATCTTTTGCTTACCAACTGACTTCAGGCCAATGTTTAGACCAAATTCAAAATTCTTATGGCTCTTATCTACAGTAAGGATTTTCGTATGGGTGACTGAAATTGTTTGTAAGCTTTCATTTTTGTCCTGCTTCTTAAAATAGTTGTCAGATCTGCAGAATTTTCCTGATGTGAAGTCCCACGATTTGTCTCTTTTGAGTTGTTTCCTCAATAATCCCTGAAATGATGAATCTTTAGTTTGAGTTGATTTTGTGGTTTGAAGACTGCTATTGCATCCTGGAAGGAAAAAAAAAATGCTGGTTTTGGGTATGATTGGCTAAGACTAAATTTATAGGAAGAATATTAATGATACCTAAATGAATACTATATGCCTAAAGATACTAGCAAGAAGGAGAGGCAGGCAGATCTCAGTGAGTTCGACGCCAGCCTGGTCTACAAAGCCACACAGAGAAACCCTACCTCAAAAAAAAAAAAAAAAAAAAAAAAAAAAAAAAAAAAAAGAAAAAAAAAAGAAAAAAAGAAGGAAAAAATGGAAAATAACACTTTATAGTGTATGAGAGCTAAACAACTGGAGTAAACAAAGCTCATTTAGGGAGGTGAGAATTAAAGTAACCAATCACTAGAGGGATTAGAGGAGTATGAATTGGGAAATGTAATCTGATATGCAAAGCCTATGATGGACTCATAAATTATGGTAATTTTGACATTCCTTTTTTTTGAGCATTTTATTTCCCCTTTCCTACATGTCAGAATCCTTAATTGCCTTCCAATTCAATGCAAATAACCCCTCTGTTGCATCTTTTCCTGACTGAGTCTAACAATCTACATTCCTCCTCTCAATATAGCACTTATTACAAGATACAGCAATGCATCATTTAATGTGGTCTTAAGTGAGGTCATCATTATGTAAGCATCACAGAGGATACTTAACACAAATCTGGATGGCATAGATCAGCCACTGGATATGTTATGTGTATGCCTTGATGCAATCAAGCGATATGGTAAACATAAGATGTATGAGACTGCTGCTAGTATAATATAGCCTCCTTAACCTTTCTTCTCATAAGTAAAAGAATATTTTAATATAATGTAATAAAATGCAAAGCACAGTAGTCATGAACAGAAATGTAATCACTTACTGTTTTTATCAAATATTATATACTGTATATAATTCTAGTGCCATATTTTTATATTATTAGTACAAAGCTGTTTACATCAGCTTTGTTACAAACACATGAATAATACATTCTGTTAAGTTTTGTTTATTCATTATTGAGGCAAGGCCTCACTAAATAACCCTGGTTGGCCTGGAACTTCGGTGTGGAGAGCAGGCTAGCCTTTTACTCATGGGGATCCACATGCTTCTGCCTCTTGAGTACTGGGATTAAAGCAGTATTATCACTTTGACTAGCTTATATTCTAGTTTTCAAAACATTCTAAATTAGATTTACTGTTTTTATTTCATGTGTGTATTGCCAGTATTATTGCCAGTATTTATGTATATACACCACATGCACTAATTGCCTGCAACAGTCAGCAGAGGGCATTGGAACCCCTGGAACTAGAGTTATGGTGATTGTGAACCACCATGTGAGTGCCAGGAAACAAACCCAGGTCCTCTGCAAGAACAACAAGTACTCTTAACTGCCTATCCATCTCTCCAGCCCCTTCTATTAACTTTTAATAGCTACAATGTCACAAGGTAACAGTTCATTTTCAGCTTCACTATACTCTTATGGGACCATCATTGTATAGGCAGCTCATCATTTCCTAAAATATCACTATACAGCACACAAATACATTATATGCATGTAAGGGGAAAATACATATTTAAAGATGCCAAGAAAGCCTTCAAAAATGTGTCACACAGATAATAAGCACAAACAGGACATGAAGCATGTCTCCATGACATGATTAAATTCAAATTTTTTTGGTTGCATCTTTTCCTGACTGAGTCTAACAATCTACATTCCTCCTCTCAATATAGCACTTATTACAAGATACAGCAATGCATCATTTAATGTGGTCTTAAGTGAGGTCATCATTATGTAAGCATCACAGAGGATACTTAACACAAATCTGGATGGCATAGATCAGCCACTGGATATGTTATGTGTATGCCTTGATGCAATCAAGCGATATGGTAAACATAAGATGTATGAGACTGCTGCTAGTATAATATAGCCTCCTTAACCTTTCTTCTCATAAGTAAAAGAATATTTTAATATAATGTAATAAAATGCAAAGCACAGTAGTCATGAACAGAAATGTAATCACTTACTGTTTTTATCAAATATTATATACTGTATATAATTCTAGTGCCATATTTTTATATTATTAGTACAAAGCTGTTTACATCAGCTTTGTTACAAACACATGAATAATACATTCTGTTAAGTTTTGTTTATTCATTATTGAGGCAAGGCCTCACTAAATAACCCTGGTTGGCCTGGAACTTCGGTGTGGAGAGCAGGCTAGCCTTTTACTCATGGGGATCCACATGCTTCTGCCTCTTGAGTACTGGGATTAAAGCAGTATTATCACTTTGACTAGCTTATATTCTAGTTTTCAAAACATTCTAAATTAGATTTACTGTTTTTATTTCATGTGTGTATTGCCAGTATTATTGCCAGTATTTATGTATATACACCACATGCACTAATTGCCTGCAACAGTCAGCAGAGGGCATTGGAACCCCTGGAACTAGAGTTATGGTGATTGTGAACCACCATGTGAGTGCCAGGAAACAAACCCAGGTCCTCTGCAAGAACAACAAGTACTCTTAACTGCCTATCCATCTCTCCAGCCCCTTCTATTAACTTTTAATAGCTACAATGTCACAAGGTAACAGTTCATTTTCAGCTTCACTATACTCTTATGGGACCATCATTGTATAGGCAGCTCATCATTTCCTAAAATATCACTATACAGCACACAAATACATTATATGCATGTAAGGGGAAAATACATATTTAAAGATGCCAAGAAAGCCTTCAAAAATGTGTCACACAGATAATAAGCACAAACAGGACATGAAGCATGTCTCCATGACATGATTAAATTCAAATTTTTTTGGTTGTTTGTTGGTTTTTCGAGACAGGGTTTCTCTGTGGCTTTGGAGGCTGTCCTGGAACTTGCTCTTGTAGACCAGGCTGGTCTTGAACTCACAGATCAGCCTGCCTCTACTTCCTGAGTGCTGGGATTAAAGGTATGCACCACCACTGCCTGGCTAAATTCAAATATTTTAGTCCTAAAGCTAATACCTTATTTAGTGAAGAGACTCTAGGCAAGTATATACACTTTCCCTACTACTCACCTTTAAGGAAATATTAATTATTGTAATCAAACAAATAAATTAGAGAGGAATTAAAAAAAAAAAAACTACCCGTGTCTGCTGATGGCATGCCATCTTTTAAAACTCATTCAGTGAAGAAACATACATAGAATTGACACACAAAAATAATAGCCATCATTTTATAAATAAGCCTATACAAGAATTTTTTTTGTAAGCATCTTGAATGAAATGGAGTATACCTCTGTTACTCTTGGGTGTTAACCACCCAAGGTTATATAAATATACAAGTAAATAAAGTCAAGATATAGGTCAGAATTTCTTAGTAGCAGCTGACACCCAAAACAGATAATTCTCAGTTGTATGGGACAGTCCTCCACATTGCAGGATATTAAGTAGCATACCTGGCCTCCACTGGCTGGAAGACAGTAATAACTTCCCTCACATAACACCCACATACAGAGTATGAGTAAGAATATGTCTCACTCCTCTTTCTATGTTTCTTGCTTCAGGTGGAACTAATCTTCTTCTTATATAGCTCACACCTTCAATTTTAAAACTGGTTTCTCAAAGTGAATTTTTAAAAAGTACACAGAGGGCCAAATCTCTAAAAATGTATTTAAAATATATCCTTATTTAGAAATGAATTTCCTAAGTAAAAACAAAAACATTTATTGAACAATAAAACTCATGTTTAAAGAGTGAATTTGAAAGCATGTAGATAGAGAGTACAATGCTGAATGAGTAGGAAACAGGGTATCAGAATCTCTTCCCCAAACGGTAAGGAGTCACTTCTAGCAAGACCTCATTGTTAACATCTTGTGACAGAGGAGAATGTCCAAACTGTAAAATGAATGCGAGGCAGATGGGAAAAGGTGGACATCAGGGAAAATGGCACATGTAATGGTACGAATGCCAGGATTCTCATTCCCTAACTAAACAACAAATGCACCTGCAAAATCTGCCCATTAGAAGTGTTTTTGAAACCCTGGAGTCTATGCAGCTTCTACAGGAAGTGGGCAGTAAACTGAAGTAAATTTCATTCAGCAACCACCTCCAGGGAGCTACCTACTAGCATTCCCACAGCAGCCCTAAGAACCAGCGGGCAGGAAAGACCATCTATCAAGGAGGATACCACCCCATCTCCACTGCAGGAGTGGATACCCAATGTTTTAAAGGCTAGTGCCCTTCCCCACTTTTACTTGCTCCTTCCCATCTTTCAGAGCCAGACACTCATGGATAAGAACACTCAAGAGACAACTGCCCTATGCATGGGAGTTGAGGGAGATTCAGAAAGTCACCGAATGTGTTAAGGGAGAGACAGGCTGAGAGAAGAGATGAGGTTTTCAGTTTATGCCTCAGTTGAATTACTGTCACAGAATCACCTTATAACTGAAGTGTTAATCTAATTAATCTTATCAATAAAAAAATCAGGAGTTAGATATTGGGGTAAAAACCTGAAAGATCAGAGAAACAGGGAAGCAGCCTCCTCTGTCCAAAAGGCCTGAGATCCTCTCTCGGCTCCACTTTATTACTTCCTGTTGCTCTCTATAGTCCTGCAAACTTCTATGGGCAGCTCCACCCTCTGACTCCAAGCAAGCTTTATTCATCGGAATGCAATCAAAATATCACACAACATATTGAAGGACCAAAAATTAAAATTAATAAAAGTTCAAAAACTTGGACCCTGAATCTATACAGAGAAAGGGAACTTCTAATGGTAAAGGAAATTTTAACTCCTTAAATCAGGAGTACTGTGGCTGGTGCCTGAGTCCCTCTCTCAGAGAAGGGGAAGTGACCCTCCACCACTTGAGTCAAAATTCCTATGTCTGTTAACTGCTGGTAGTAAGGTTATAAAGATCCCTCGGTCCAGGGGATAACTGGCAGACTCTGCCCTGCAACCCCATGCCTTGTCTTATCTTATGCAAATGTATTTTTGCTTAAAATATATAGTTACCGCTTTACCCTGTACTTTGTATGACCTTAAGTAACTATAGAAACTCTGAAATTTGTGGCCTTCGACCTTATGGTTTTCCCCTTTAAAAGCTTCTCTTTGGCTGGTTGACATCTCATTTTCCTGCTATGGAGTGAGATCCAAGCTGGCCAGCTTGAACAATAAAAAGAAACCTTTTGCTTTTGCATCAGAAGTGTCGGCTCCTTGGTTTGGTCGCTGGGGTTCCACAAACCTTACACTCTCCCCTACAGACTCTTCCGCACTTCCATGACTCCTAAAGCAGGCTTCTCCAGGCCCTACCTGTTTCCTGAAGTGGCTCCAGGAGGCTTCCCACCGCTAACTTGGCCTTATTTTGAATCTGTCCTCCTAATGCTTCCAAAATAGCCAGTCTTACTGAATTTCAATCACATGAGAACTTCATGAATCTTAACAGTCTCTGCAAAAACTATACATATGAATACAGTCCCCTTTTTACAGATGCATTCCAAAAGGAACTAATTTCCAGTCCTAATAGCATGTCCTCATGTCTCCCTGTTTATACTGGCTCACTCATGCAAGCAATATACTTTCTTTAACGTAGATGGTGCCACATCTTCACAGAGCTCTGTAACCTTCTTAGTCCTCAGCATGTCTTGGAACTCTGTCCATATCAGTGTGTTCTTTCATCTTAAGTAGGGTGATGCAAGCCAGAGTGAGGCCACATCAGAGCTTCTTTAGTTATTCGGGGCACTTATTTCTATACCAGATCTTGTTTTCTCCACAAAAATACCAGGGATCACAAAATTCTCCTTAAACTTCTTAGATATTCCTATTATCCACAGGACAGTCCAAATCACCAAAGTGCAGTGAGGCCTTCCAAGCTCATTCCCTTTGTCTCCTTTCCCTATACACATTCTGTATATTACTTCCAAGATACCCTTAAATATACTGACATTTTGTACATGAAATGCAGTCTCCTCAGAAAAAATAAGAGATCTTGAGACAGGAGGGGGAAGCTAGGGTCTAGGAGGCTGGGATTTCCCTTTCCCATCAATCCTTGAGGATCAAGTACCTGAAGAAGTCTACTGTTGAGGGATAGGCTGATCTAAGGCTTTCTCTGAGGCCCTGGTGTAAGGAGAGGAAACAGGCTTGGCAGAGCCGGTAACTGCATAGGGTCAGGGCTTTGGGGGAGGTTAGGCTTCAGATCCTGAGAATGCAACTCTCTGCCCCCAAAGAGCTATGGTTATCAGTTCCAAGGTTGCTGTGGGCTCAATCTTAAGATATCCTATGTTCCCTTTGTGCAACACTTAAGATACCCAGTGTTCCCTTTGTGCAACATTGCTTGATTAGCTTCCTGCTGACTTTGTTCCATTGTATGATAGCTTTCCAATGACTCTCCCTTTCCCCACCACAAACAGAAGATGCTGTACTTCTTAATAAACTTGCTTGGCATAGACATTCCTGGCCCAGCTTTCCTATCCTCTATCTCTCATCGTTCCTCCCCTGTAACAGCCCTGTCACTAAAAAACAACCTGCTGGTGTGTGGCAGTCACCAGTCACTGAGACTACCTTTCATTCTTATTTTGCACAGATTTTCTGTGGTATCTCTGACCCACCCACTCACCAAGAGAGGAGCTATGACTTCCTTTCTCTATTTTCCAGGGTTCTTCTCCTTGCTGCAACACGGAGATCATCTCTGGTTTGGTGAATGGAAACCCTGATCACAAACAGAATTAACAATAAGACTTACTTTTGGTGTAACATGAACAAGCACTGCATATTTGTGTGGGAAGCTCGGAGGATGGCACAGAACACTTCTTTCTATTTATTTATTTAGTTTTACTTATTATGTATACAGTGTTCTGCCTGCATGTGTCCCTGCAGGCCAGAAGAGGGCACCAGATCTCATTACAGATGGTTGGGAGCCACCATGTGGCTGCTGGGAATTGAACTCAGGACCTCTGGAAGAACGGGCAGTGCTCTTAAGCCCTGAGCCATCTCTCTAGCCCGGCACAGAACCCTTCTACAGGGTACTTAAGCTGTTCCCTGTCATCCGATGGGATGTGTTGAGTGGCTTACAGGACATGACTGGTAGAACTCATACATTATGGAAACATAAGCAGTCAGTTATAGAAAATGAACATTGGGGTGTTCAGGCAGAATAAAAACTTACAAGCAGGTATCTGTGAGAAAGATAAGGTGTCAAGTAGCCTGTTCAAAGCAAGAAAAGACTACTTGAATCTGTTTCAAGGATAGAGTATACAGTATTTACCTGACTGCAAAAGAGAAGCAGGAAAGGCAAGAAACAGGTAGGAGACGAGGGTTGAGGGAATTCTTTGTTTACATGCAACGAAGAATAAATATTAATATGGAAACACAGCTTCAATGCTGAAGGAATTCCTACTGTCAAACTACAGACAGTGGGTGACAGTATGAGCATCAACCCCCTGTGTTCTCCTATTCAGGGCACTTAAACACCTGCAAGCGGAAAACAGTTTCAATATTTATAGAGAACTTATTTATACAGTTAGGGTGCTTTAATGACCACAGCTTTCATTCAGGGAAGGAGGTGCTGAGGTCTCATTTCTGAATCTACGCCCACAGGGAACTCCCTTACCCAGTGAGGCCAGGTTGCTGTAGTTCTCTAGCATCACCTCACGGTACAGGCTTCTCTGAGAGTGGTCCAGCTTCTTCCACTCATCCCGAGTAAAGAGCACAGCCACATCCTCAAACGTCACCGACACCTGTGAGGAAAAGCCATCCCATCTAATCCAGGACCAGCCTCATATAGCATAGGGAGGTGACAGTGTAGAAGGTGGACAGGCCATTGTGAAATGCTGATGTCACCGAAGGTTCTAAAGTGGCCAGGTCATCCATGTAATGATGAACTCAGCCAGTGATAAAGAGCAGCAGTGAGTAGGAGCATGGCTTTGTGTACAGGCATTATGGCCATTAGTGCACACCATGGTAAGTAGAAATCTTCTAATAAAGATTCTTTTTAGTTTTTTATTTTGTTTTTGTTTTTGAGATAGGGCCTATATAGCTCTGGATGGAACTGGAATTCATTCTGTAGACCAGGCTGGCCTCAAACTCACAGAGATCCGCCGGCCTCTGCCTCCCTAGTACTGGAAATAAAGGCATGTGCCACCATGCCCAGCAAGATTGTTTATTTTTAATTTTCACGCAATGCCTATGTAAGAAAAATAATTTACTATGGAGAGAATACAAAAGATGGTCTTTGCTTTTAAAGAATTTCTGGTCTAGTCAGCATACAGGGACATGCATAAAATAATTTCCGCAATGTAAAAAAAGCTGCATAGCTGGACTGGTAAGCCCACACACCATCTTCTACTTCAACTCTTACTTCAGAGACAAGAATGTGAGCTGCCAACACCTAATGTCACAAGCTTTAGCACTGGTAGCAGCACCACAACTGAAGATTTCCAACATGAACACAGAACCTACTCCTCTTTCCTTGGTCTTAAACTCCTGGGCACTGAGGATTTTTGTTTTTTGTTTTTACAGTAGTATTGACACATGGGGAGAAGATAAGGGAGACATAGGAGAGAATTCACACACAGCGATGAAGGTTCAAGACATGAACAAATCCCGACTCTCCTAGATGGAATGTAAAGGCTTAAGGAAATGGAGCTGCCCAAATCCCAGCCCCTTGTGGGTCCAAAGACAACCTGTATAGCTAATGTAAATAGTATCTGGTGCCATGGTAACTAAGGCTGAGCCATCACTATGCACCTGGCCTGATCTAATACTTTCCATAAACTACGTCATCTTCTGATCTATCCTAGAAGAGGACACGGGTTGTTATTTTTACTTTATTAAGAGGAAACTGAGGCACAGAGAGTTTGGCTTACTTTCACAAGGCCCACAAATGGTAACAGATGGGATGGGTTAAAATTCATCTGTCTTGAGCATCCCATTTTCTGACCATTGCGCTCACTGATTTTCTGCCAAAGATCCCATGAAACCCCCTTCATGGCTTCTTGAGAAGTTGTCTCCCTGTTTCAGATTCCTGCTCCTGAAACTGTGCCCCCCACCCCCGCAGTATGGCTTTGTCCATATGGTGTCTCACCTAGACAGGGGTATCTCTAAATTCCTGCACCTTAAAAATGGCAGGTCAAGATGGTTTTTCACAAGAAGAGTACAATCAAAACTTAGGATCCAAAGAGTGAAGGGGAAAACTCTGGGCTGGAGAAGGCTGGTGGAGCATCATAAGCATTTCAAGGGCAAAAAGAAACAGATGAGCAATCTTGGTGAGGGCTGAGAGAAACATACAAAAAGGAAGGAGGCAGAGCAGAGAGGACTTTTCCCAGGTGTGTTCCTAGTGATAAGAGGGCACTTGTGTATCACTGTCAATTTAGTAAGTACACAGCAGACTGGGGTCAGCCAACCCCGAGGCTATATAACTGTGAGCATGGGGTGTGCTCCCTACACAAACATCCCATGAGAAAGGACCAGTTCCTCCATGGGCACCAAATCCTCTCCTGATGAAGGGTGGTGTACTGGATGTGGGGCTTCAGTCAGGAAGGAAAACCAAAACCACACAAAAACCATCTTCTACTAAGAACTGAGATGGCAATGCGCTCACCTGAGACTTCCCTTCCCTTTGCTCTGGAGCCATGTTCTCTTTCTGGGCTTTTCTCAAGGATGGGTACAGTCTCCAAAAATGTGATCTGAGGGAAGAAAAAAGTAGGACTGCTTTGCACCCCTTAGAAGCACCATCTCCGAATGCATCCCATCAGCATCAGCTGAGCCTGGCTCTCCTGCCTCCAGAGAGAGAAGCAGAAGCTGGGGATGGGCATCAGAGAAGACACAGGCAACACTGGATTCCATCATAGAAAGGACTCGCTGCGCCCCCACATGCCAGGCATCACTCTATACGGTTCACCACAGCTCAGTTGACACTGCCTGTCCCCTTCACATCAAGAAACTGAAGCCAGAGTGCGGCCACAGTGGGGGCGCACCCGTTTCCACCTGCTCAGATCTGTTCCTTCACTCCACGTGCTGCCCACCCAACTGCGCAGTTGCTGTCACGGGGTCAATTCCAGATTCCTACACAAAACTCCAGAAAGGGGACCAATGGCTCAGGACTGCCCAGGCTGGAGCCGCCATAGGCCTCCACGTCCTCCAGCCTGGCCACGCCGCTCACCTCCCTCTGGCTCCCACCACGCCTCATGAAGGCTCCAAGCCCCCCCCCACGGGTGG